AATAATCATCAATTTTTCGCTAAAGCCTTGTACTCACGTTTAAAAATAGTCAAATTAAAACTTAGCAGACAAAATTAATGAAACGAGAAACAAATCCACAAAGTGAATAGACGACATAATCATAGGAGGAATAATATCTGCGATTGTAATATTAGCAATATTTTTAATAATAACAATATTACTAAACAAAAAGCGCAGAAATCCTGTTGAAGGGACCATCAACGTAAACCAAATAAAGAAAAATGAAAATAGCGCGCATGAGCTTTTTGGCTGAAGAAAATTTTATTGTAAATAGACTTATTGGATATCTTTACGTGCGTCATTAAATATCTTATTCTACCAGACCAACTTAATTCGGTGGACATTACAGAGAAAATTTTTATACTAAACCTCTCTCTTTTGCGGGAAGATGTAATGCCTCGGACAAAGAAGCTAATGATTTATTGTCAATGTGTATTAGTATGACTAATAAAAATACACAGCTTTCGTGTAAGAAGCCTAATTATAGTACAAAAATTGGCCATTGGGCGCGTAATAAATAGGACAAAAGAAGATATATACCAACAGAGCAGCAAGACATTTTATTCTATTACGCGCATTAATTGCTCTCCTTTATTACTAATAAGCAAAAATTTTACGCGTCTTACATAAGATTCTACCAAACTACAAGTCTATTGACTAGTATCGATATTATATTATTTCACGAGATAAGTTCAATATAGTAATGTTTACATAATCATTCTAAATTTACATTGATCTGCTTAATTTACAAAATTCCAGCCCGCGTTATATGAATTATATCATAAGCAAAACACTCCATTAATATTCAAATAAGAAAACAAACCAGAGTCATTAAATGAATACCATTTCCACACCAAAATTGTAATTCTTAAAAGGAATATAAAACCCTTGACTTTTCATTATATTAACACCTTTACCATTAGCATAAAAATGTGCCAACTCAAGTTTAGCAGCTTCTTGATCTGTTTCTCTATTTGCGAGTTCTGAATAAAGTTCAAATGCTGTTTTTTTTCATTTTTATTTACACCCAACGATGACAAACTAATTTGGGTTAAAAAGGAACTTTAAGAAATTTTTATTTGTAGATAATATTAATTATTATTTATCATAATCGTTATGTAACTTGATAAAAAATTCACCTAGAAAATGTATGCCACAATTCCAACAGCAATCACAAAAATAATTACTAGAAAACTTGCTGCAATAATTATGAAATCACTTATAATGAAAGTAATACGTATAATTTTCAAATTAAATGTTTCAAAGCATGTTTTAAAAATTTTACTCAGAGATCAAATGATACAAATTAAGTGTAACTACGGGCAAAATTAAAAATTTCAAGCTCTTTGCATTTTTTCTTTTCGCTTTCTCTTATTACGCTTGAAAATATTCATGATATGTAAATTAATATATTACTTAACTTCATAATATAAACCGTCAGCAAAGCGACAGGTCACATACTAGTTTTATAAATAGATATAAGTAATTTATTAGCGTATTTTTAAGCTAATAAAAGTTTTTGTTTAAATTATAGTAACAGGTTTTTAATATCTATTTTCCCGGAGTATGGGGAAAATTATAAAAAATATATATCAATATATATTTTTTTAAAAAAAATTTGTAATTTTTAATATATTTATAATTTTCCCGATACTCCGGGAAAATAGATATTAAAAACCTGTTATTATAATTTAAACAAAAACTTTATTGGCTTAAAAATATGCTAATAAATTACTTAGATCTATTTCCTAAAGAACGGTAAAATTATAAAAATAGATTATTAAATATCACTAAGGAGACTACCAGAATTGCAAATACTAAAAATAAGCCAGCATTATTTTATTATCAAAAACTCGCATAATTCTTTATAATAGATATAAAATGAGCTTAATTCTAGTAATATTTCTAGCAGATTATTGTAGATATATTATTTTTAATTTATAAAAGTTTTATAATCTAATATATTATAATAAACTCTAAAAAATTAGATCATTATTCTTTTATTTGATAGTATTTGTATACGAATTATTTTTTAATAGTCTAATATATTTATAAATTTTTCTTGAGTAATTTAATACAGTGCAAGATAGTCAAACGCATCTAATCTTTATTAATAAAAACATTAAATTGTTATAACTTTTTAAAACAAGCTAAATTAAAAAACCCTCTGACAAATTGATAGATTTTTAGATTAACCATATTTCCGTTAGAGGACTTTTTCTTATTTTTTGTTTTAAGTTATAAAGAGTTAAAGTTTATATGAGTTTAAAAAATTGGTGTTTAATATAAAAAAAAAAAGATATGTATTTAATTAACTAATCAGAATTAATTATACAAAATTAGCCAATCAATATTGATTATATAAGCACCAGAATTGGCGATTTGTATAAATTTACTTTTTAAAATAATTATCTTAAAATTATCTAATATTTTTAAATAATGAGTAAAAAACAACCTGGACATTCTAAAACTGCATGTAACACATGTGCTTTAAACAAAGTAGCTTGCAAAAGAATTTTTTTTATTGTGAAAAGTGGGAAACTACTCAAAATTGCCCTTCATTACAATTTAATGCACAAATATCTTATCCAAATCTGTGTATTAGATGTACACAAATTCATAAGCCTTGTAACGGTAATTATGCATTATGTTATAGGTTTCCATGGCATCTTTTTTCAGATAGAGATAATATTGTTTTATCTGATAAAGATGCTATAGAAATTAAAGGTGTCCCATCATTTCAAACTTTTGACAATCCAACACCCGCATCTCAACCTTTGCCACTAAATGAATCTTTATTAATCATACCTTCTATAAATCTTGAAATTGGAGAAAGGGAATCTAAAGATTTAGCAATAATGGTTAAAATTCATAAAGAAGGAAAACCTTATAGAGAAGTAGTAATGGAGTTGGATACTGGCTCAGATGTTACTTGGATTACCTCTGCATTATTTGATTTTTTAAAACTTAAAAAAATTGAATCAGATGAAATAATTTATGGGCATAGTGGGTATGAAATTCCTGTTGTTTGCAAAGCGGAGGTCATTATCAAAATTAGAAAAGTTAAATCAAAAATTATAGTTTATGTAAATAATGACATAAATTATTTAAATGAATAATCGGCAAAGATTTAATGAAAGCAATGAATTTAAATCTTTTAATTTCGGAAGGACAAATTTCTGTTTCATGTAATGAACATATTTTTAAAGCACCTTTATGTGTAGGCAAAAATTGTAATATTTTACAATCTTATTTATCTGATAATGAATAAAAATAGTGCAAATTTATTAGTCTTCGAAAATTTCTGTTAAGTTTTTTTTTTAAAAATATTATATCTTCTCGACAAATAAGTGATATTAAAAAAAAATGCATTCGATCATATTTAACTTTTTTTATTGGTGTCTACTCATGTAATATGGAGTGTTACATATTAAAAAGGTCAATTTTTAAAAATTTTTTTTTTTGATTTTTGAATAGATATATTCAATAAACAAGTTTGCTATACAATAAGTTACCAAAACTATTTATATAATAAAAAACAAACTTGAAGTAAAAAAATTTTTTTTATATTTATAGATCATTTAAATTTAAAACTGTTTATTGTTTATTAAGAAAGTTCAACTTATGCTAAAAAACGTTTTTAGTGAAGATCTATTAGTTGGCAAGAACAGTTTTGGCATAAAATTTTGTATCATACACATTGGATAAGGCAAAATTTTAATAAATATATTGAAAGAGTTGACATTGCAAATTTAATAATATTGATTGAACAATGTACTATAACAAGTTAAAGCGTCGCGCTAATGCTATGAGTTTTGTAAATTAAATAAGCCATAGTAATAAAACAGTAGAGAATATAGTTTGTAGTAGAATTGATTTTACAAATTAACATAGTTACAGACATGCTGTATTTTTTGACTAATTTCTGTGATCCATAATGCTGCAATGCCATAATATTTGACCTTCATTTATTTTGTAAACTATGCAATTTTTATGAGATAAATTACTTATTTTGATTTGTAAAGTGATTTTTGTAAAAATGTCGGTTACTATACTTATCCACTGAAGTTGTATAAGCGATTTGGATAGTTTTATAATGAACTTATCGTGATTTGTAAAGAGATTTGCTGTAAAAAGTTCAGTTACTAACTTACAGATAACTGTAGTTTATATGTTAGTTTTGTAATAGACTTATCGTGATTGTATAGTGACTTGCTGTAAAAAGTTCAGTTACTGTATTTACTTGCTATATGATTTGTGTAAGTGATTTAGATATGATTAATTATGGACTTGTCATGATTTGTGAAGAGATTTACTGTAAAAAGTTCGGTTACTATACTTACTGGCTGTGGTTCATAAGTGATATAAAAAGATAGAGTTATGTTAGTTTTGTAGTTAGTTTTGCAATGCCTTATCATAATTTGTAAAGTGATTGCTATAAAAGTTCGGTTACTATACTTACTCTTTATGATGATATAAATAATCTAGATAGAGTCATATTAGCATTGTGTTGAACTTATCGTGATTTGTATAGTGATTTGCTTCAAAGGTTCAGTTACTGTACTTACAGATAGGAAATGGAACTGCCTAAAATTTTCTTAATCATTTAATTGTTTAACTTATTAACCATTTAATTCAGCCGACATTAAAATTGTCTTGGCCCATGATCACAATATTTCGTCCCGGCATTATAAAAAATTTTTTATGCGGTTAAACGGTTTCATTCTCTACTTACAGACTATTGTAGTTGCATAGGTTACATATAATACAAATTATGTTAGTTTTGTATTGGACTTACAGACTATTGTGGTTGCATAAGTGATTTAGATTGTGGATTTATCGTGATTTGAATGTGATTTGCTATAAAAAGGTTAGTTACTGTGCTTATACACTATTGTGGTTGTGCAAGTAATTTAGATAGGGTTATATTAGCTTTGTAATGGATTTATCGTGATTTGTATAGCGATTTGTTGTAAAAAGTTTGGCTACTATACTTACACACTATGATTATATAAGTGATTTAGATAGAGTCATATTAGCATTGTAATAGATCTATTGTGATTTGTATAATGATTTGCTATAAAGGTTCTTACTCGCTATGGTGGTTGCGAGGTTATTTAGATAAGGATATAGGGTGGAGTCAATAGAAAAAGGACAAATTTTTTCTAAGTAAAAGTTTTCTTGACTTTAAGCTTAAATATCTTGGTAATTATCTTATCAAATTTAACAAATATTTTTTTATTTTAATTCTATATAATTTTAAATTTAAAATAAAAAAATTTTTAACAAATTTGATTAATTAGTTGTTGAGATATTTTAATTTTAAAATTAAAAAAATTTCACTAAAAATGATTTGTCCCTTTTCTATTGACTTCACCCCATATGTTAGTTTTGTAATTGACTTATGACTTGTATAGTGATATACTATAAAAAGTTCGGTTACTATATAGTACGTATTGCGTAAGTAATTTAGATAGTGATTTATTGTAAAAGCTTGGCTGTATACTTATAGGCTATTGTGGTTGCATATGTAATTTAGATAGAATCATGTTATTTTTGAACCTATTGTGGTTTATATTGTGTTTTGCAGTAAATGTTCAGCTACTGTACTTACGAGCTATGGTGATATAAATTGATTTAATTATGTTATGTTAGTTTTGTATTGGATTTATCGTGATTTATATAGTGATTTGCTATAAAGGTTTAGTTACTGTGCTTACTCACTATGTTAATATAAGTGATTTTGACAGGCTTATGTTAATTTTGTATTGAACATATCATGATTTGTATAGTGATTTGCTGCAAAAGTTCAGTTACTGTACTTACTAACAACTGCAATTGTATAAATGATTTAGATAAGGTGATAGTAGTTTTTGTATTGGATTGTGTTCATAATGATTTGCTGTAAAAAGTTCAGTTACTGTACTCTGTGTTGTCAATGGACAGAAGTAGTGATTTAAGCCATAAGGTTTAGTCGGCTGGCTAAGCCAGCTAACTAAATATCGGCTAATCGGCTAGCTAACAGCTGACAAATACCATACTTACGGAAAATTTCGGTAAACTTTCCGCTTAATTTTATGATCCTTTACGGAATTTACTAGAATCTAACCATATACTAAATTCTATGATCTTTAGCCGCATTAGCCAGCCGATCATATTATATTGGCTAGCCATAGCCAGCTTAAATCACTATGCTCAACTCATATAGAGCATATAATCGATATATAAAATTTTTTAGCAAAAATTCTTTCTATTTATATCAAAAGGAAATGTGCAGATTATGAGTAAAATCGCAACCAATAAATAAGATGTTTAATGTTTAATCTTATATTGGAGTGATTATCAATTATCAGGGTGGCAAAAAATCTGAATGTAAAATTGAAAAAATGGGAAAAATGATAAAAGTGTATATAATATATTTATGATGAACCATTAATTTTTACACAAATAAAAAAATTTGCATGTTTGTAACTTATTTTTACTGCTTTGTATTTAGCTATGCGATGTGCTGCTCAAGCAAGAGCAAGAGTAAGAGCATGAGCGTATAGTATTCTAAAACGCGATCAATTTTGTGAAACAAAAAATCACCTTTTTTAGTGATTTTTTGTTTCAAAATGGATTATAGCAACAAATAAACCGAAGCTCAAATACAAATTTGGCAAATTTACATTTTACAAATATAAACAAGCCTTTTTAGTGCGTTAATTAAATAGTAACTCAAAAAATTTTTTTTATATATTGGCATATACTAATCATACCAAAACCAATAACTTATCGAATTTGGCTGAATAAACTTAGGCAAATTTTTTTAGAGTGTTCCAAAATTTATAAAAACAGCTATAATGAGAATTTTATTACATTTAATATTTATGATAAACTATATTTGCTTTTCAGTAGTTTTATTATGATGCATTTGTAAAATACTCCAAAATTTGAAAAATTTGACTGCTAATATGTAACTAGTGATTTTGGCTAAGATAATCAACTTTTCCCTGGTAAAGGTGTTAGAAAATCGATAATAAATTTTGTTCCCAAAACTTAAATTTAGGGATCTAAATTTGAAAAATGCACCGTAATGTTAACATGTAAGTGAAGTGAGAATTTTTTTATTAAAGATAAATGAGTAAATATATTGTTTGTAAATAAACTATCTTGTCTTAGTTGGATTTTGACCATTTATGATTTTGGATTGTCAGGAATTTGACTTGTCGGGATTCTGATTTGTCAGAATTTTAACTGTCAGAATTTTAACTTTCAGGATTTTGACTATTCGAGATCTTGACTATTTGCGATTTTGAATTATCAGAATTTTGACTTGTTGGGATTTTGACTTGTCAGATTTTGACTTGTCGGGATTCTGACTTGTCAGAATTTTGACTGTCGGGATTTTGACTGTCAGGATTTTGACTGTCGAGATCTTGACTATTCGAGATATTGACCATTCGGGATTTTGAATGTTGAGATCCTAAATACTGTTAGGATTCTGTCTTTGTTGGGATCCTGACTTGTCGATATTTTATCTTAGTCAGGATTATAGTCATCAGGATTATGTATTGTCAGGATTTTAGAAGTCAGGATTTTGACTGTCGGGATTTTAACTGTCGGGATCTTGACTATTCGAGATATTGACTGTTTGGGATTTTGAATGTCGAGATCCTATACTGTCAGGATTCTGTCTTTGTCAAGATCCTGACTTGTCAGTATTCTATCTTAGTCGGGATTATAGTCATCGGAATTATGTATTGTTGGGATTTTGGAAGTCAGGATTTTGTGGTAAAACCATTTATAGTAAATTTCATGAACATGCTTATTTCTCATTATTCGATTGTTATGTTAAATCATAATAAATTAATATTTAATAAGTTTTCAAATTTATTTATACTGTGGTAATTAATATATAAGGAGTTTATAAACTACTATAAAGTAAAATTTTTACCTTTAATAGAGATAATTGTTGACTTAATACAATAAGATTTAAATAATTCGCATAAATGTGCATTAATTTAACTAAAATAGAATTAAACAAAAAGACAATACGTAGTAGAAAATGATCTTTACATGATGCGTATTTTTACTTATTCGATTGAATTGATTATATTTTAAATCAATACCATTTTCG